CATTCACAAATCATTTGAATGGAGTTTCGGGAAGAGAATTTGTAGCAACATATTTGAAGCTTATTACTGGAATTACAGCAACAGTTACTTTAATTATTCTTTCAGAAATGTGGTAGCAAGTGCTTCCCAGTAAAATGTTGGGTTTGCAAAAACAAATGCTATGTTGGTCACAGCTGCTTCTGCTTAAAGGGGAATGGGTTTTCAGTACTTAGGGGATTAATAAGAGAAGACAAACCATCCTAGTTAATTAGCCCTGACATGTAAACTTCCTGAGAGCATGCTGATGATAATATGAAAGTCATTAGCGAGTGCAGAGATGCAGTACAAAGGCAAAAGTTGTGGAATCGCTTGATATTGATTGCAATATGGTCCTTACTTTTTTTTCAATAAGGAGAGCACTATGGAGTGGCTCAAAAACGCTGCAAAAGTTGATGGGCTCTTCCTGGGCCATTTAACATAACAAACTGCTTTTCATAAAAGTTTCATAACTTTTTTATAAAGTTATGGCTACAGGTAAAACAAAGCATTTTCAGTGAGCTTAAATATTAGTTGCATTTTAGGTCACAGGAATTTTTCCTTAGCACTTAATGCACATAAAATAAGTTACAAATCTAAGATACAGCTGTGCTGTGCTATGTCTGTGTGTTTGCTAAATACCCCTAGAAGCCTCGAAAGCTTTCTTTTTCAGGAACCTCTTTAAGACCCCTAAGTCAGAGGTAAAGTAGAAATTAGGGCTTTGCACAGGGATGAGTGGAGTGTAAGTAGTATTACCATCTCCAGACACCTACTGTAGCTGAATACTGTTCAGTCACTGCAATTTACCATGCTTGAATTCCTCCTTAGCTTTCTCCTGGGAGATTAATATCTGTTACAGCCACATCCTATTTCCTGTGCAAAGTGCTTTTGGGATAACAACTCCCTGTCATCCCCTGTAGCAAAGAACAGATCAAAGGCAATGCCTCTTCACATGCATCCACTTGTATACTATTCCATCAATACTGTTGTGTTTGCTGTCACTCAGTTTACTGGAAAAGGATAGAACACTAAGGCATTTATTAATAGTAAAGATGTTGTCTGCCAAAATACTGCAAAGAAATATGAATCTTCCAAGCTTTTAAATGCTGAAGAAAGCATATTCTCCTGCAGTTGTTTTTTTTTTAATTATTTCCCTGATCACACCACCCTCTGGAGTTTTACTTTATGCTTTTTTTGTCTTTCAGTGTACTTAGGCTTCTCTCCAAATCTTTATGAAAAGCTTTTTTTATAAAAACTTTTTACGGCTAAAAATTTCCAGGGTTTCATCAGTTATGTCTGCAAGTACTTAGGCTTTCAAGGAACACTTTATGGCTTACTTAGAGAACCAAATAATGATCTATGTTTTTCTCTCCATTTCCTCCTTGTTTAATTTTTCAAAAGCTGTCACAGGTCCACAAAGAGATAAGGGAGGGGGGAATCCCTTTCAAAAGGCTGCACATTTAATTTTTCAGTCAAGTTCACATCCTGGTCCTTTAGGCTGCTTCTCCATGCAGGCATACTCAGGAGAGCTGGCAGGTGACACTCGTCTTTGGCTCGGTTTCTGGCTTAAGCCTTAGAAAGGGCAGGTTGCACACCTGCTCCTGGCTAAATTGGAGCTGAAGGCGGTATTATCCTGACCCCTAAGGGCCTTGGGATGAGTGTGGAGGCATGAGGCATGCAGCCACTTTCAGGGGAGCAAGGCAGAAATCCTTTGTACTGCTCAGAGGCAGGACTTTGGAGAGGTTTTTTTAGACACTAGTAAATTTTAAGATCACAGCATTATTGTTTTGTGGACATTTTGCCATTTTTTTGTTATAATCATTTA